AAATGAATAAATTCCAAAGCTCTGTATTTAAATCTATAGGGATGATGATGAAACAGACCAACACTTCTCCAATTGGTGTTTAAAAAATAGATCCCAGAAGATGTTCATAACTAAGCCAAGAAAGATTCTTCCCTTACACAAAGAGTTCTTACTTTACAATTCTTTTCATCATTAAATAGACTTTAAAAGTTATCTCTTTTTCAATAGAAAGTAAATGTCTAGAAGAGAATGAGGGCATTCTAAACATGCCTGATTCAATTGATGTATGGATTGTGATGAGTTGTAGGAGGCCCCTAATAAAATGATTTAAAAGAAAAAAGTTTCCTCTTTTACTTTAAACCTTCACAGATCTTTTCCTATGTTAATAAGTACTTTGAATTCTCAAGAGCTGGATGAAGGACAATTTCCCAAGCTTGGTTGCCCTATTATTTTAGTATTCTGAGAACACTGCACAAAAACTGAACTAGACAAACCTCTAGCAAAATCAGTAATGGGAAAATGGAGCAAGGGAATAAATAATTCTATTTAAAAAATGAAATAGAAATAATAACAAGTAAAGGAAAAAGTGCATTACAATGGAATGCGGTGCTGTACAATTCCTCCTAAATTAAAATGAAAGAACACAATTTAAGAAAGCACTGAATGCCCAGATAAGCCTTCCTGTTTATACAATATACAACTTAAATTAGGATGTGATATTAACTAGAATTATAAAGTTGGTAAAAGTTGTTTCTTTGCCTAAACCAAATCTTAAGCAGTTTTTCTATACTTACAACTCAAACAATTCTTGTTTGGGTGAGGAAAAAAAAAGAGGAAAAGACAATAATATAGGAAAGAAAACAAATTTGAAAAGCAGCAAGGGGTTTAATAGGTAAACTTGAGGACTTCATTGTGCTAACTTGAAAAAAAGCAAAGAATGGATCAATGTGGGGTGAGCCACATTTCTGACAGAAATAGGCAGAGGACACATCGGCCCTAGGGAAGGCCCCCCAGCCCATAGAGGCCAGCAGTACAACCTCCAAATCCTCATGTTGGGGGTTAGAGAAGATCACAGTGGGATTGTAAAGTATTTTCTACTTTACTACTGCACATCCAATAAAGTTCTACCATAAGAGCATACTTAATTTGATCAGTTAGGCTATTATGAGAAATCAGAATTAATTCAAGCAAAACCGGTTAGTGGTAAGCTAATAAGCAGGTAGAATATTAAGCAGTACAAATTTCCAGAGTGATGCAGACTCTGAGTAGAGCCATTCCCATTACATTAATAAACATATAGACCACATCGAAATAACTTTCATAAAATAAATTAAAACTCTAATCCCAATGTTACAAAGATTTTGTTCACTAATACATTAAAAATTCAGGTTTTGTTTGTTCACGAACACAAAAAACTATGATCCATATCATTTATGAACATAAATATGAAAGTCTAAACAAATTATTATAAAATATACATATGTAAAGAATAATCTGCCCCCCAAAATTAACAACTATCCTGACCAGGATAACAATAAGTGGTCCCAGGTCAATGGGAAAAAAGTACAGAGCAAACCTTATATGCATTAAAAAGCAGGCTTTAGAGACTGAAAGAAACAAGAATACTGCCCTGAGATGTACTTAAACTTGGAGATAAAACCACTCCTGGAAGTCATCTCTCAGCCAAATAAATGTCCATTGGCATAAAATAAACAATATCGCTCAGGAATATTGTTCTCCTTTAAATAATCATCTGAGACCAAAGGGTCAGTATTTGCCTCAAGTCAGAGATAAAACAATAGGGCCAGAGGTAGGGAAGCTAGATTAATGGAAATAGAACAACCAGTATAGAAATAATGAAAATGCTGACTGAACAAATAAGACAGAAATCATTAAATGGGAATCTAATTTACTGTGTAAACTTTCACCAAAAATGCAATAAAATAATTAAAAGAGAATAACCTGCCTAATATAACATGTTAATCTTAGTATCCTTGAAAAAATAATCATGCTAAATGAAAATGACGTTTGCTAAAACTAGACAAACATCCCCAGTTTAAGGAATTTGACTGCCTATAGGAAAGTTTAATAGCTACCATGCTTGTGTATGCACCTGAACTGTCGAACAGTTAACAGACTAGTTGTTCTGACTCAATCCAAAAGGAAGAAGACCCCTGTTACAATGTTCTAGGAAACATTAGCGCAACCTAATCATGCACCTGAGAACATTTATATATATATAAATATATATATATACACACTTTGACAAATAAATGCAACCTTTGTGACAGATTATACGATTATACTCAGAAAAGCTGACAGCAACCAACTGAGCAACCATTCGAATTAAGAGTTCAGCAAAATAGTC